CCAATCACAAAACACCCAACTGGTGCATCTTGGGCTGAAAGTCTAGAACTTATCTAGGAATTTAACTTATATGTCTTCCTTGAATATTCAAAATCTCAGTTGTTGGCCTGTGGGGTAAGAATGATCTACGTGCTTTTCTTTCCCACCCCCAGCGCAGATCTGTGTGTGATTCTGCAGCTTGTACACTCCGCCCCCAATATCTGGTGCAGCCCACCGCTTAAATCTTCTCGGGCAGGTCTTGAAGATGCTGCTCCACGGAGGGCCTCTTCAGCTCCCGTTCACTGCTTTCAGGCACAACGGAAGCCACCGCAGCACCCTGGATCTGATTCTTTGCCTCTAATACTGGATATACGATACACCAGCATGGAGGACCCCTTTTACTTGCGGGGGGAAGGAGGTGGAAGATTTCTAATGAGTTATTCAGCCAGCTTAAGAAAACGATAAAAACAAAACATATTATATGTAGCAATAATGTTCAGCATTTGATTAAAAAAGGCTGGAAAGGACAACACAAAGGAGCCTCAAATAATCAGAGTGTTCCTGATAAAGGTACTGGGCCAATCCATCCATTCCCTCTGTTCCCCAGTGACCTCATTTCGATGAGAACTTAACCCTGATTCTTTTAATTCCATAAAGTACTGTGTTTTAATCATCTTTACTTAATATCAATCTTTGCCTGAAACTTTGTACTCTGCCTGTAGTGCTCCGGGACGCAAAACTTTTAGCCATTTAGCTGAAAAGTCCGACTGATTAAAAACTCTCCCTTCCCAGCAATGTTCCTCTTTTGTCTTACAAATTTCAAATGAACAAATTCTATGTGACTGGAAAACAGATTTGGCTTCCTTGATCTTACATGTTCAAGGTGCCTCCTTACTGTTAGATGCAGGATTGTAATGGTTTTTTTTTAACATCTGAATATTCAAGCTATGCCTTGAGAACCTTTCCTACCAAATTATAATCACTGTAAATTCCAATTATAAAGGTAAATGTATGGTAGCACTTCGACACCACCTCTGATTTTCAATACAAATTAACAAAGGCAACTCAACTGTTTCTAAACTGCTTTCAGAAATAAAAATTATGTACTCTTAGGTCTTAATTATGCACAAAGCAGAATACTGTGTTTGTACTTAAATGCTACATAACTCAGAGCTACTGTATGTCCTAATGTAAGATTCATTCAGTCTCTAGAGTATTTTCTGTCAGAGCACAGTATCTTGTAAGTCCTCTGTACAGGACATTTTGATATGCAAACCACAACAGAGAGCAAGGTGCTGCTTACCTGCCCCCGATTTTTCTGAAAAGCACACCTGATGAGATGTCCACTAACTTCAGTGCACAAGGCTTTTTCAAATGGCAAAGTTAACTACAAAAGCAGCTATATATGCAGTGATGCTAAAAGGGTCAGAATGTTTACCCCTTGCTTCTCCAATGAAGACTGACTTAACTTGGATTAGCACAATAATTTGATCCTTTTGTTTAAAATAATTTTGTAATTATTTCACCCTGTGAAGGGCTTACTTCCTATTCTTGACTGCATGATGTTTTTACTTTATCTGGCTGCTTATAAGCCCCTAATTCTTTTCAGTTTTTCTATAAAAAGAAAAACCACAACAGCTTTTAAACTATTTAAAAACATTCACTGCAATTCTTTCTTTGCTTTATATAGCTACCCATCTCACTTTTACGGGACTCCAGGCAGCTACTGGTTCCTGACTCTAGTCATACAACTAAATCCCCTTTTTTCTTGGGACTAAGAAAAAGAGGTGTGAAATGATGCATTCATATTAAAGGTTAATGTTCTGATTCTGGCCAGCCAGAATCAAAGTAATGAGAACAGCAGAATATAAGAAATTTATCTTTTTTACCCAGTGGGTGCCACAAGATCCATCCTTGGGATATATTGGCTGGATTTCCAATTAAGGTTTATTACCATGTTATGATTTTGTCTATTATTTTGATTCTCAAGACCACCCTTTTTGTGACTACATTTGTCCTGAGGCCATGTCAAAGGCTAGGAAACAATGCACCTTCCGAATGGGACGGTAAATGAAACATCTTACTTCATTCACTAATGAGGCAGAATGAAGCACAGCGCCTGAAATGCTAATACAAAATAAACCACAGATATAATTACAGCAGGTACAAGGTGTGCCTCACTGGCTTTGCTTTTATGGTGCAGCTGTGTTAGTATTCTGAAATTCTATTCTCTAATCTCATCTGCATAAAGATGTTATACATTTGTTTGATATAAATTCCAGAACTGTGGAATGCCTTGGGAGTTGGTTTTAGATATAAGGAACTTACATTCAAGATCTGGTTTAAATAAATAATTCACTGCCTCTTGTATTGCAAAGGATATTATTATGAGATATTCTCTGGCTAAATTAACCCCAAATCGCAAATGTTACCTGCCCTTTCATAACCCTTCATAACCCTTTCTTAATAACTTCATAATTAAACAACACTTTTAAGCTAAATTCAAAACAGAATTTGGCATTGCAGACTTAATCATTGGGCTGATGCAATATTATGCTGAAACTGTTCTCCCTTCTTCTCTCCCAAATGCACTATTGGCTTCCCTTCATCTACTAGAAAAGAATGGGTTTTTCTTTTATATGGTGCTTTTCCTCTCCAAGTACTATATGTGAGACTACTAGAGTTATCTGTAATTCTTCTCATTTGAAACTCCCTCAAGAACAATATTGTCTGATGGCCTGGAGTACACAATGTCTCCCTAGATGTCTTCTTGAGGCCATCGACCAAAAATCTGGAACATCTAGAATTAAGAACTAGGTTGCATGAGAGTTAGCTCAGCTGGACAATATGTTTCCAAGACCTAACAACTAATTAAGATTAAAGATAAAAGTCTTTTTTCTCTCAAAAAAAAACAAAAACAAAAACAAAAAACCCTGAAGCCCAGATATTACAGCGGAGATCTTCCCAACTACCTGGGGACATTAGTACCCACTTTAGGTACAAAGCAGAAGACGCACATTTTAAGTTATTTTAGACATTTGTGAACAGTAAACACAGATGCAAAAGCAATTGGAACCAAGTACTGTGACATGGCCATTAACACCAAATGCTGCGCTGAACTTACCCTTTTCTACAACATGGCTGTGTCTTTCAAAGGCTGAAAGGCATATAAATCAGATTGCTGTGTGTGGCTATTGAGATCCAATCATACTCCATTAGGTGATGAACCATCACCTGGACTTCTGTGTATGGTTAATTCATATTGTACTCACTCTACATAATACTAACCATTGATTTCTAACTACAAATATTCCATAACTCTCCTACAAAACCAAGAGGAAGGAGTAACTCATTCTTGGATAACTTCAATCACTGCAGGATAATGGGGTTGATTTAATGTACACATTTGTATTTGGTAGCTGGAAGGGACATAAAGAACTTCAAGACAGTAATTAACTTACCTTCAAAATCAAGCCAAAATGTCTTCTTAAGATGGTGAAAAGTTTTTCACTAAGCATAAACTGAATTGCATTCACTTCTATGTCTGACAGCAACAATAAAAGCCAGACCCAACTACAGATCTCCTTTTTACTTACAAAATTTTAGAAAAAGACTCAAATTTTGTTATTATCCTACTTACTACAACATTTATATGAAAAATTGTTAGTACCTGAACTGCCCAGCAAATAAATAGTTCTGAGAGGAGCAGGAAGAAAGCCTATGTATGCTGGGAAAACAAGTGGTTGCTTTCAGGCTGCTGATGTATCAAAATTACTAATATGCATAGGGAAGAGACCAATTACTTTTGGAGATTTTTAACTGCTCATCTGAATTAATGAAAAGACTGAGAACAATTGCTTGGTGTTGGACTGGAAGACCTCCAAGGCCCCTTCCAACCCTATGATCCTATGACACTTCTATACAGAGTTTAAAATAAGGGTTCAAGATTCACAAGCCTTAGAAACAAAATCCTTCGTCCATGTATGACAGTCAAGCAAGAATCGTAAATATGGAGGGCTACACCCCACAATTGAAGGGGAGCAGGAAGATGTACTCGATGGCTTCTCCTCAAGCCTGGGAGCTCCATTCCTCCAGGGGGTCCACCAAAGCCATCTTCCAATGGTTATAAAGATGTAGCCAACCTCAGCCTTCAGAGGTTATGGAAAAGATGAAGTCATTTCTGTTGCATGCCCAGAACTTTCTATCAAGGTTCACATTGACTCAACTGATATACAACAAATAAAAAACACAGAAATCCAGACCGCAGACTGTAACATATTTAAACAGAAAGATGAAAAGTTCCTAAAAGAAGAATGATCTTACATTATCAAGCATTCATCTACTTACCTTCATAAGCTAACAAGATGTTAAAGATATTCATATACAAGGTGAGAATTCTCTGCCTACTTTTCCTGTTTTGATGAGAGCTTATATGGCAAGCAGCTTTCGTATTTAAAAAAAAAAGTGAAAAACAAAAACAAGCATCTGGATTTATGCTAGGCTTCTGGCAGCACTTCAGGAAATTTATTTTCTTGGTAGGAGCTTTCTCCTCAAAACTGACAAAAAAGCGTGTTTGCGTAAAGATGTAAATTGAGGGTTCAAAACCCTTAAAAGCCTTTAAGTTCTGACATTTCTAATTCAAAATCCAAAAGAATAACAGGGGCCAATCTTAACGGTAGATACAATTACTCCATACATTACATAATTTTATGCAAAGGAAAAAAATTATTTCACCTACCTTCTGTTAGAACATAGCTATCGTCAATGAAGAACATAAAGAAAACTATGCATAACTTTGCAGATTAAATTCCAATTATATACAACTAAAAGATAACACCCAAGTTGTTGTTATTACTATGCATGAACCTTGGAATTCTCCCTGAGAAATGTGTGTGTCAATCTTTGAAGACAGAGCAAGGGAGCCATTAATATCCCTTTCTGCTTTTTGCAGGGGCCAAAGTGGAAATGTATTGATAGGAAGGATAAATGACCGCAGAAGAATATCCCTGGGAAATACATACATTTGAACAACAGTGCTGATGAATTGGCAGGAGTCTGTTCTGGCTTTACTGCATTATAATTATGATCGCTTGCCCAGGATGGCGTGCTGCTCTCTGAGGCTGGTTCTTTAGCAACTGTTTGAGTGTTTGCTTCTGTCTTAACAGTGGCCACCGATGTTTTCTTCATCACCATCTCTCTCTTCTCAGGAATGGGTCTCTTCTGTATGGACAAAGGTTTGGTACCCACCTGTATAACCAGCAGAACCCCAATCACTATATATTGCAATGACAAAATCACCACGACACAGGATGAGGGCAAATCAGTTGAGATATATTGCAAATAAGGTTATGCAAGAAGGTACACCTGTACCTCTTCAAGCAGAAATCACATCCTGGACACAGCCCCTCGTTTTGTATTATGAACGTTTGTGTGCCCCTGAAGTATTTCCTGCTGATGACTGTTTGAATTTCTAGCACACTAATCCAAAAATCTCACTATTTAATTTTACCCACCAATTTGGAATCACTTCTAACATGCATTAATTACCTTGTAATAAATGAAGACAAAAACATTTCACTAATATTTAGCACAGTGAAACTTTTGCTACTACAACTGTGATGGCAACCAAGATCTAATCACATCTTCAATTATTAAGAAAAACGTGAAGCACAACAAAAATCTGCAGTGATACAATAAGTGCAAGAATCGCACCAATCAGGAACATGCTCAAGTTTTTAACAATTCACTACACAGTTGTTAAAACAAACTTAACTCTAAAAAATCTGAGGAAAATGCATATTCCAAGAATGGCTTGGTGACAGTGTTTTTTTCTACCATTTGATATATTAAAAAAAACACTACTCTTCAGGAATCTTGCTCATTAGCTGCTCTGAAAGCTTGTTAAAAAGCAGGGTAAGAAGAAATATAAAGAAATACCTGTAATGATTGATACAATGTATACCAATATATATTTTTGCAGAACTATTAAGTTATTAAATACATTAGATCCAGACAGAGAGGCAAGACTGGACAATATGATCCTTTATGATAAAAAACTGAATAAAGTTGCAATTGAAAAAACATAATTCTTCAGCCTATTTTGTTTTTTAATCTTTAATTACTTGTTTATATATTTTGAATTAAACACAATGTAGATGGGATTTTATTTACTTTTACTTTTGTTATTTCTACTTTTTCTGTTTTGTTATTTTCTAGGAACTTTTCTTTTGTGGCTTTTTCCCTGAGCAGTTTAGTACAGGTTTTTTCTTCTTTTAAGAAGCATATCATCTCTTTATGCAACGGTAATATATTTATACTGCTATTTAGGTTATATGATATTACAAATTAATAATTATTTTTTTAAAGTAATACTGCATTATAAATGGACTATTTATAATCTTCACTGTTAATTTAGCTGATATGCTAATATTTACATAATTTTGAAAGATGCATTTCAGATGTGTGTTTTCATATATCATTTATATGCCATTATTAATACTCTTATTAAAACACAACTAAAAATGATAGAACCACGACACCTTCAACCTGTGAAGTGTTATACCTGTAACATTCAGTGAGGGGCCAAGAAGGATGGTCACTCTTTCTGCCCTGCTGATTTGACTTCTGAGAAGCAATCGCTGGTGGTTAACCGAACGTCTGGCTGGATTGACTTTTAATGTAATCCAACAAAGCTCTTGTTCCATTTTTACAGAAATGGATCGACCAAACTAATGTGGGATCAGTTAGGTAGGATCAGTATTACAATAGTCCACTATCTGCCTATTTCAGTACAACAGCAGGATGAACATATCTTACGAAACTGTCTGGCTCACTCAAGATACAACAAGCATTATGTAATTATCTAATCGTTCATGGAATCATAATGGAATACGAATGTTATGCTAAGAAGGTTTTTGGAAGCATTCTGGAAGAATTATATAAGCTTCAGATGGCCTTTAAACAGGGACTAACCCGCCAAAGTTATACTGACTGTATTTTCCAGAAAAACAGTAATTTACTATTTTTTTATTTTATCCTCTTCTTTCAAGTATTTAAACATTTGAATGTGGTGGCCTTCAAAGAATGTGGACTCCTTCTGTGACCAGCAGCACAATGTATCACCTCCTTAGTGGTTGGGAACCCCCCCGCTTTTTTTCTGTGTTTGTAACAGTTATCTCTATCATGCTAATGGTTTTACAACTGCAGAAATCGAGTGAAGAATGGAGAGATGTATTCAGCTTTATATGAATACAGGAAACACTGTGTTTCAGTGTACACTAAAAGGCAAAAATAATTTGCAGGGTAGTTGGATGAATAATTAAAATATTTTACCATACAAGGGCATTTATCTCTTGAAGTCAAATAGTCACCAAGGGACTATATTGTTTAACACCAACCTAGACTTACCAGAGGCTGAGGTTTTATGACAACAGCTTTGGGTCTGCTTTTCTCTTTGGATTTCTGTTCTTTGCCTTCACTGAGGAATTTCATGGTGGCAGCAGCATGTTTAAGGATGCACTCATGACCGCAGTATACTGAACCTGGCTGAGCCACCTTAGAGCACCCTGGGCCAATGCAATTGGCTGCTTCGGGATCTTCAACTACCTGAAATGTAGCAGACAGAATATTTTATTGCAATACTCGACATTTTTACTTAGCTATATAACAATCCCTTATAATACAGAATTTTGTTTTGCTTATCGGCTTGCTAACATTTATGCATGTATTCCTCTGAAAAAGATGGAGTCAACGGTTTTCCTTCAAAATAGATAAATTTCTATCTTTATTAAAGATGTCTGTGTTTGCAAGTAATGTTTCAGTTTGCAAATTACAGGTGCTTCTGTTATTTTAAACATCTGGCTATAATTGCTTTTAACATACAATATAAACAAGAAAAGCTATAAGAATTTTTTTTTAAAATTCTATTGCTGATTTTCCCATCAAATTCTATTTTTATTCTTGCCCTTTCCTGGGGTAACACATTATGCTAAGCCATAACATGGTTGGATGGTTTGTCTCAGCAAAGAGATAGGGCAAAACAGTAATCCATGGGGTTGGAGGCCTGTGCGTACATTAGCCATGTAGACTTTTTTAATGTAGATTTTACATTATTATTTTCATTATACTGTCTCAAAAGAATATATAGTATGTATTTGATTTTCAGCAATTGCATTTCAAGGGGGACTTTGGTAGATGCAGCCAAGGGTTTCATGCAACCATAGATCCTTCGGCTGTCTATCACCACAATGAGAAAATCAGTAAATTCACAGAAAAAGAAAGCAGCTTGCTAAGAATTATTTTGCAAGACCTTTGCTCTTTTCTAGGGTGTCAGAATGTAAACATTTCATATGACATTAATGCATACACATATATACACACTTGAGATGATACTGACAGGTGAATCAGAATGTTTCCACCAGAAATGTACTAATAATCCAACAAAATTGAATTGAATAGCTTGAATACTCACTGGCTGAAATATTTTGAGTTTTTTCTTTCCACTTGGATTTGCAGCTTTCTCAATACGACCTTTGATGCCTTGATCCTCAATGGACTTTTGTTCAATAGTTCCTATGCTTGTGAACTCTGTGCCATCACCTGTTACCTGTCCCAACAAAGCTTCTTGTTGATCTGCTTCTGTAACTGTTTCATCCTGCACCTGCAGAATGGTGCAATTTGGGCAGATATAGTCTTCCCCATTTCTTTCCAGCAGGCGCCCACGAGCCTCTGAAATACCTACACAGTCCCCATGAAACCATTCCTCGCATCTATCACAACAAATCATAAACCTTAAAAAAAAAAAAGCATTAACAAAGTATCAGTAACATATATCAATCAGATTTTATATATGTAGCATGCCCAATTGTATATAGCTTATAAAGTTAAATTAAGTTAAATTATAGTCTATCAACCAATAATAGAAAACTGCATTTTATCTACCCCTCAAAAGAATATAACTTCCTTATCTGTTACCTGTCTTTTTCTGTACAGAATTACATGTTTTTATCTTAATAAATGATGAGATCATATTTTGCCCTCAAACTTTACATATGATTTCTACTGCAGTGTCCACCCACTCACTCAAAGCTTCCTTTGCCACCCTTGTATGCTACCTATATATGCCTTATAGGAATAAATGTCCCTATAGCCTTTATTTCCATTTTTGAAGACAGCTATTTCCCTCTGCCAGCTTTGGCCATGCAGCCCCTCTCTGTATTAAACTTTTCTGAGTTTTCACTATGATACAGCACAGACAGTCAGAAACCAAATTGTTTCAAAAATGCCCTGTAGTGGCAGTGCAATTTAAAATATGCTATCATTCTCATACATTTAATCAATAAGTTGTTTCCATCACCATTTAATTCACCATTCTCCCTTTCTATCAACACTGCCTGTAGCATTTGTTGCTAAAAGCACTATTAAAGCTATATTTTGATATTTAATAAAGTATATATTTAGAGTAGTTAAGTCAAACTTCTTAAATATTTACTTGATCTGAATAACCATTTTATGAAATATTTTGACATTATTTATAAAAAATACCTGTTGTTGTGAGGCTGTTGACAGATACAATACAGCGTACTGGGATCGTATACTTCTGCTTCTGATTTACCCTTTGTGCATTCTTCAAGTTCATCAGGGGTCTGAACAGCACATTTTATTTCTTTCTTAATCTGACCTGCTTCACTGGTTTCCTTAGAGACAGAGCCTTGTTCTCCAGCCTCAGCATTATCTGTAGTTCCTGGTTCTTGCTTTATAGTTATTTCATGCTTAATTTGGTTGCCTATCTGGTCATCAACTATCTCAGTAGGAACTTGTTCTTGATGTTTCTTCCTGAGGTGATTCTGTATCTCTTTCAGTGTTAGTTCTGAGGGTTTCTCTTCAATGCGTTTCTTTCTCAGACGGTTCTGCAACTCTTTCAATGTTAACCCATCGCTATCACTGTCAGATGTATCTTCCTCACCCTCTTCCTCATCATGCTCTTTAGCACTTCTTCCTTTTCGAGTTGGCTGGCCTCTACTGTCATTAGAACGGCCCTTTTGAGTTATATTTTTTATATCTGGCATACTTTCTACACTGCCTTCAGAAGCAGTTTCAACATCAGTAACATGGCAAGATGTTGGCTCGCTGAAGTCCTCAAGAGTTGCAGGAAGATTCTTCCGTCCTCTGCGCCTCACTGTTGTAAGAAATTCTTCGACCCGTTCAGTACGTTTGGGCTGTCGTCCACTACGCCTAAGAGCCAGATTTTGCTGCTGAGGAGATGCTTGTTCAGCAATGTCCATGTCAGCATCTCCTAAGCCTTCTCGCTTTGCAATAGTAGTCCTTCGAAACCCCCATGTTTTCTTGAACTCCTTGCTAGTGGGTTTAACTGTTTTTTGTTCATCCTCATTGCTTTGCTCACCTTTGTCATCCACAGCTGATAAAGGGAAACAATTATGTCTCTTTAAAAGACCAAAATTCTGAAATATAGTATCACTTCCATGAACAGCAGCACCCAGGGAGAAATATAAAACATGAAATACTGCAATTTTGAATAAAAGTACTCTCTGCCAGGATGCCTTTTAAGCCATAAAAGGTCCCACTTCATTTGTAGTGTGGGAAGCTAAATATAACTTCTTCCCCTCCATCAGAAATACATCTTTGAGAAATTCAGTTGTCCGTCCCCATTCCAATGTTGCATCGTAAACAGAAAGTGCAGTCACATTAGCACTGGAATAGTCAGCACATTATTAGAGCAGTTGACTGCCCTGGCAATGGGTAGGGAGTAATAATGATCAAGAAAATATGAAGGGGGAATGCATGATGCTGTTGTATGACCATGTACAAGTCAGCTTCTTGACTATAAATTCAGAGATGGAGCTAGCCTCTTGTGTGTTCCCCTGGAAAGAATAGAAAGTACTCCAAACTACTAGAATTCAACCCTTTGAGTTCATCAAAGGCTGCCAATGTATCCCTCTCTAACAGTGGTACAATTTTGGCTATATACAGAATGGCATATGCAGCCTAAGCAAAATAGTGGGAACATTGATTAGCTTCTATTAAATTTACTTCCCTAAATAAAATAATTTACCAAGAGAAGAATTTTCCATATTAGACTGAGACTCCAGTGCCACAGATTCCAAATTCTCTTCTTCCATAGTATTGATATTACTGTTCCAAAAAGTCACCTCTGAAAACAGATAAAAAATAATGATAAACTTTTTTAGGGGGGCGTGCCTTCGAGTCATTGTTGACTCCTAGCAACTGCCTGGAGGAGTCCTGCAGGTTTCGTGGCAAGATTTCAGATGTGTTTTGCTATGGCCTGCTTCCTAGGGCTGAGAGAGTGTGAACGGCCCAAGGTCTCCCAGCTGGTTTTGTGCCTAAGGCAGGGCTAGAACTCACGGTCTCCCAGTTTCTAGCCCAACGCCTTAACCACTACACCAAACTGGCTCTCAATGATAAACTACATATATGTAATTCTGAAGTATTCTCATTTACCAAATTTCATTTTCAGTAGCAAATTTTATCTACACGAGCATTTCAGTGTCTTATTCATCATGTATATTAAAAAGATCCTAATACTTAAATAATAGTTCTATTGTTGGTGCCTTTTGAATGCACTGTTATCAAATGATCTGAAGTATTTACAGCTTGTCTTTCAAGGCAAACATGATTCTGCATGAACAAGAGACATGTTACAGTAAATTTACTGTGAAAGAAACATATATTCACAGAAAAACACAGTCTTACATCTGCATTCTCTCTTCTCCCACAAAATTATTTATCAGAAATACTGGAGACAATTTAATCATACTAGATAACCTGCAGCTTCCACAGTCAGCCCCACCCTCTCAAAGTTCTGGCTTCACTCTAGATTTGTAGTAAATATTTAGCAATATATTTCCTTACTTTACCATCATCCCTGCTATGTCCCATAATTGCTTCTAACAGAAGAATCTCTCCAAGATCATGATACTACCTAATCAGCTTTTAGCTTATGACACAGTTCTGTTGCTCCAAGCAGAGCTCCTCTTATCCAGAATACCAGGGGATGGCAATCTATGGTCTGCAGGCCAGATGTGGCCTGCCACCCAAAACTATCTGGCTCATCGTCCCAAAAAGAAATTGGGCTGTGAAAGAGAGGGAGAGAGTGCCCACCACCTTTTCAGGTGATCATTTTGGTGGCAGCTTCACCTTGGCACCGGCAGACCAATTACTCCCCTGGAAATGGTGATAGCGATGGCAGCATGGCTTCTGGCCCTACAGAGAAGGCGGCTGCGGATCCCTGCAGTACAATTTGCATCGCTGAACTCTAGTCCTTTATCCTTGACCAGTCACAAGGAAAGATATGACTGTCTTTAGAAGCAGATGCAAATTGTTATGCCAAGAGTAGTCTGATAATATCATTGTGCCTAATCTTGCATTAACAGACCTAAGGCAGCAATGCTATGTATTAATCCTACCTAGGATCTTGGAGAATGGTTTTTGTCCTATGATGCAGAAGTTCAACAACCCTTGATGCTGGAAGCACCAACTACTGGGACCAGAAGCCTCATAAAGTATCGGAGTGGCACTTAATTTATCTTGCTCATGGTAAAGTTCAAACCCAACTTTTCTCCAGCCCTCCACTTGACATACTAGATTCTACCACTGCTATTTGACACAATAGCCTTTCTCCTTGCAGCTTATACAACTGCTACCACATAAGGAAAGCAGCACACTACCCTTTCTCTCTCAATATGCCCATCATTTGTCCTCAAGTAGCCTTAATGAAATTTAAAACCTCCAGTTTGATTTAATGTCACACCACAATTTCTGAAGGAAAAAAAAGGGTGTAGTACAGTATATCACAACATGCAATTGACATCTTAACGAAAGGGTTTACCTTTGAAGGCGAAGAAAGGTTAACAGTACAGATGAATCCCGTCTCCAGAATAAGCAAGAGAAACAGAAGACTCTCCAATATCCTCTAAATGCTTTTTACCTGACACAGCATTAGAGGTTGCTGGAATTAGTTCTTCCTGTCCACTTAAGCCGAGGGAAGAATCACAGGAGGGCAGAAGTAAATCAGAATCATTCAGCATAATCCCAACAACAGAGGCTATTCTGGGGAAGTCAGAAGTGTAATGGTCATCTTGATGCCATCCTGAAGACTCTGAAACCAGCAATGCTCCACTCGATACAGCTACCTGTTATAGGAAAGTTTATTTATAATTTTGTTCACCTGAATTACTGCTTAAGTTAAAAAACTAAGCATTAAGATTTGCATGAATAAGTTTAAAAGTTAATTTAATTACATTACAGACAACAAGGGATCTAATACACATTAAGCATTTCATTACGCTATGTTACAACAATCACCAAGTCTTTATCCTTTCATCACTATTTTACAGAAAAGAAACCAGCAAGACCCTGATGATTTTTCTTCTATTTACAGAAACTAAAACAAAGTATTACACATAAAATTCACGTTCACTCTGTTTAGTAAATGATTCTAAGAATAATCTGCATTCTTAAGGATTTCTAAGGTCTTTAATTACTGTTGGATCCCTTACTTCTAAACATTTGCTTATATGGCACCTGCTACCTACCACTCTGCCCCTCCAGCTATTTTTAAAGTAAGTGTGGTATTTCCCAACTGACAAATCCCAGCCACCACAAAATCAAAAGCCTGAAAGTTCTAACTCATTTCACTTAAAGGGGCAGCATAGGAAACATTCTGCTATTGACCTTTGATAGATACAGAAAACTAACCACATTTTTAAAAAATTCCCTAGTTTTTGTACCTTGCTGCAATGGTTACTGAACAACACCCTAGTTATTACATGCAAACCTCTCAAATAACTACATGTATCCCATTTATAAAATCATGTTTCTCATTTATTTGTGACATCTTGTAGTTGCCATCCAAATACAAAAGATTTGAGCATTCTCTAAAATTAGCTCAGTTATATTTCCCAACTGGTTTGTTATCCAATGACTTCTAGGGATATGTGAAATGTCTTTTCTCAGTTAAAACAGTCATTTTCTTCTATTCATATAAATCATTCTCACATTAAAATGTGCTGCATTATGGATAAATGCAGATTAACATTTATCATGGAAGGCTTTCTAGATGTTATGCAAGTTAAGTCAATAGTGAAAAGACAGGATGCTCTTGTGAGTCCTAAAGCAACATTAAGGTACTTGATACCTTCACTAAACTGCCTTGTGGTCCACTGCTTGAAGCAGTAGCTACATCCCAGGAATCAGAGGTTGATGTCTGAAGAGATTCTGAGCTTAAAGAGCTTCCTTCCACGATGCTGCTTTGTAATAACCTCTCAATCTCCCTGTTAAGAATCTCCAACTCATCACACATCATGCAACTTTAAAAGATCTGCCAGGAGAAGAGGGAAAAAGTGGCCAATCATTTCTTGTTCAATTCACACATGCATACACACACAAACTTTTAATTATAAAAGTCTATTCACGTTTCCACAAAGAGGCACATTAAACGTTATAATCCAGAAATCCAAAAAAAATCAAAGGAACATAAGGCTATTCATGCCAAGAAACCTACCCGTATTATACTCATATCCCTACCATGCCTCAGTCGGAATAAAAACTAGCATCAAGAGCAGCTAGCAAACAGTGAATTTTACTTTCTTTTGGTTATTCTGGAGTAATAGAGAAAAAAAAAGAATTCTAAATCCATCTCCCCCATCAAAACTAGAATGTAAGAAAATATGCTAAAAACTCCAGTATGCAAAAGCCTCCCCATTTCCCATCTAGTTACTCATTCCTGAAACATGAATTAGAAAGGAAAAGAATTAGAGCTGGATGGAGTAATGGGAGGCAGACCCTGATTACCCATTCTTTGCAGTGTCCCTTCCCCAATTGCTTCTGCTTGTGTTGTCAGAAGAACAAGGCTGTGAAACTCCTTGGAGGATAAGGACTACACTCATGTTTGAATCTATTTAATTCAGGTGGCATGGCAACCTTGTGGACTTCAGTTTTAAATAGTATTGTAAGAAACTCACTTTTAAAATTAGTTATCACACTTTTGCAACTGTAGAAATAGACTTGAAAGAAGAGTATTGTTGGCTACTTTTAAAATAGTGGATTTCAGTGGCAAAATTATTCTAACTGAAACTAATTAATGTATCGCAAAAAGAAATGTACATTTTTTCTTTTACTGGCAAATTATGTCATTCTTGTATTTAAATCTGAATCTCAATATAAATGCACGATAGAATGCATTAACGCAGTAATGTTTGAGTGGCATTGTTTTGAAATGTCAAAGTTACTTCAGCCAATGTTGTCCATTTTCATTCTATATAGACCTGCTTTTGAGTCTGTCACACTAAGCCAATTTTTTTTAAAATGAGCCACTCATACTCTTAAACCAAAACCTAGTGAAAGAAAATGTATTTTTGGAAACTATTGATTAAAGCCAACACTATACTGCAATTAGGTAAATTGCTTACAAGTTTGTTTTATATGTATTAATTTTTTGTATGGATTTTTTTCAGAAATGGGGAGAATCTTGGATTTAAAATGGCCCATGTAGCCATATATTCCTGCATGATTTGCAGCTGGGTTCAGCTTCTCACACTGCTCGAAGATATATACTGTGATTTATTTTTGGCTTATGCAAATCCAATCATTGGGGTTCATGAACTATAGCTTATGGCAGGCAATGGTACATTTAATATTTTTGGGGACCGGGGGGGGGCTATGTATGTCAGCCACATGTACATAGCCAGGATTTTTTGTTGGGGGCTGAGAGAAAATTTGAGTGTTTCTTTGTTTTTTTTTAAGTATGCTGAGCCTATATTGAAGTATATGCTACAGTTTTTGTGTATCGCCTGTCTCAAAATGGTGGGAAGCCACCCAAGGAATTGCTCAGTATGCTCATTCCTGGCTTATAGTTTCATCTTATAAATGACCCTGGCTGCCGTGCCTTGTTCAACTGAACCAATCATACTGTACTTGTCCCAAAACTTTGTAAATTTAATGATACTAACACAAAAGCTATCCTTCTGTTACATTTCATCATAAATCTGACCTGCTTCAAATGCTAGAAAATGTTAAATCAACTTGAACTGTTATTTCATTGTTCTCTCCTAACATAATTAATATTATTTATGGCTATACATATTTTTCTTAAAATCAGCCAGCATCTTAAGAGTTATATGTGCACAGAAATACATACAGAAACATTTCTGCATTCAACTGCCATTTCTAAATTTTGCAGACTGTTGAAAGCCAGTTGGGTCTTACAATTTCCAATATCCCTGGGCCATGCTGGGTACAGATTTCAAACTAAGGCATCAGCAGGCCTCAAAGTTGGGCAAGACAAGATATAAAATGTCAAAGAACAATAATCAAAAGGCAAGATTAAGCAATATATTAAATGCTAAAATCAAAGGCAGAAGAGACAAACTGATTTAGGACAAGATTTTTAAAAACAGGGCCATCATGGTAGATTATGAAGTGCAAATACTGCATCTTCAGCTTTAAGAAATCAAGACATGAATGTTATTGGGAGCATCTGAAAAAGGACAGCAGCCTTGGCTGACCTGCATCACCCTTTTCCTCTTCCATCTTGCAGCTGACAAGCAATAAAATGCTTTGGAGGTCGTGATTTCCTTAGGTTTTCTGGATTAAAATTATGCTTTTAATCCAGCCATGAATTAAAATTATATCCTTTAATGTATTTCTATTAATAATGTTTTCATTTCAAATGTAATCTTTAAGATAATTATACTTAAACATATTTAAACCTGGTTTGTTTAAAAACTGTGTTTAGTTATATGCAAAGGCTGCATATACATAACAGAATATAAGTTTTTCCAACCAAAAGGAGACCCTCTTCCTTCTACTGTACCACAACCTTATTTTAAAACTTCTTTCAATTTTGATAATGCTTTATAACACTAGAGGATGGGGTAAAACATGATGTTCAAGGCACATTAAGTCCAAAACTTAATCAAGGGTCCAATTATGCATAGTTTGGTTTTTTTATATGGACACTGTTATTTCTGAAAGTAACAAAATAGCAATATTAGACTGTTCTATGTGTTCTGTTTATCTATTTATTTATTAGATTTAAGGTTGCCTGACTCCAGAGTGGGTGGCTTATATTATAAAAGAGTAATAACAGGCAAAAGATAGCATACAGGTCCAGATAAACCAACTCCAAATGCTACCCAAAATACACTGATGGTTCAACAGCCCCCTTTTACCAGGCCTGGAAGAAGAGTCAAGTTTTTAAAGATTTCCAGAACATCATTAGGGCAGGACCACAGATTTCTGGGGTGATGCTATCCCAGAGGTGCTGCAACAAAGAAGACATGCTTCTTGGTTCCTGATATATGACACTATTTAGTGGATGGTGCACACAGAACACTGATTCTGCCTGATCCCACCAGAAAGATCCAGTGTTAAATTTATCAATATAAAAAGAATGACCTCTAGAAATGTTGAACTGCAAGTACCATGACAGCCAGAAAAGCAACTTAACGTAAGGGGAGGTCACTTGCTGTGAATAATGGACTAGCATAACAATGGTAATGAAATCTACTTTAATCATAAAAAGAAGTCGATCTGCTTACAGTTTTAAACCTAAATCCAGTATCTGTAATTCTCTACATTTGATTATTGTAAACACAAACAATATGTATTTTATGTTGCCTACCTATATTATATTAAGCAATAAGTGGACTAAGAGTTTCAAAACAATTGGTTTTTCTGGATTTGTAAATATTAGAATACTTGAGATGTAAACATTTCATTATTAAAAAAAAAAGCCTACAGCTTAAGTTAAATGGGGACTCTGAAGTTCATACAAGGAAAAGAACATTATTACCAATGAAAAAATTGGTTTACAAATTCTTAAACTTCTATGAAGGACCCCAATATATTAATTCCAGCCAGACTGCAAGAACAAGCCAAACAATCCAACTCCACTTGCCTATCTTTGCCTACA